TTTTGGAATCGTCTTCCCATACATTTTCTTATTTGATCCATAGTGGCCTCTTGGCTCCTAGTCCAGTGTTGTCTCTACTGTAAGATGACAAGTGGAGTCTATTAAACACTGAAGCCTACTGGGCTTTCTCTCTTTTGAAGCCCCTGTTAGTTTTCTGAGGTTAAGTGGAGGTTTTGGGGTGCCTTAATTGCCTCAAAGAGCAGATGACCTCGAGGTCTTTTTCCTTTAGCTTTGGAATGTGGGAGAATTACATGTCCTAGGTGTGTTTACCATTGGCTGACATAAAAATGACACTGTGTGTCTTGAGCAGACATGAATAATGTGGGGGACAGATAATCTAGAGTTACAAAGGTCCACCAGAAGAGATCTGTCAGGAAGCAAAATATTTCTGTGCCTGATCAACAATTAGGTAATAGTTCACTGAGAATGTTAAATGGTGATGTTGCTCAATACCATGGAGCATAGTGGGTTCATAATGGCATTAAAGATTCCTTTTCTTTTACACATCCTTAAAAGCCAGCAATTTCAACTATTTTGTGGGCTTCAAAAACAGGAAACTGCTGTTTCAGTGTTCTATTTATAAATCTTAGCAACTTAGTTTATCTAAATTGCCTGAGACCAAATATTTTCTCTGAGGCCACACTGATCCGTAGTTCTTCTCCCTGCCTGGAGAATTTTTGGAGCTGCTGGTTGTTTTCTCTAATCTTAATCATTAGGAAGCTGATTGGATTCTCTATCTAGAATTATCAATCATTTTGGATGAGTTCAGAAATTTAGACAAAGCACCACAAGACAAAGTGGAACTGTTTTTAGAGAGAACCAAACATCCCAGCTCCTCTGAAGATCAGCAAACAATGGGCAACCTGGATTTTCTTTAAAATTTCCTCTGCCCCTTGCAAAATGGACGACTTAATGCTCAGAAGGATCACAATAAGGTGCGTTATGAGTTAGGAGATCCTCCATGCTGCTCACTGTCTCAGAATGGAAGCCCGGGCCACCACCTTGGGGTTTGGACTCATGAACATTTCAGGAGATGACTGCAATAGCACAGACCTGGAGACTTCCCCAAGCTTTTGCATTTTCTCCCTTGAGCATCTGCCTTTCTTTGTCATCCGTAGATGAGTTTGATTTACATTGAACCACTGTTTGTGCACTGTCTTTCCAGAACCCATTTGGCAAAGTCTTCTGGCGGCACTCTTACTGGTCCGATGCTGATGGGGCTGATCATTCTGATTATCCTGGCATCTGACAAACAGGCAATTTTATTTTGTACTTATTTATTCATCATTGCCTATTTCCAAAAGAGATTTATAGTGGCTTATGAAAATGCATGACATGCAGCAAGATAAAATAAATTAAAAACGAGGACTGAGATTTGGGCAAAGGGAAAGTATGGGTAGGCAGATGATAATGTGGAGCCAGGAGCAAGGTTGGTTCACATGACTTTTGGCTTGCCACTTCAATCTGTGCTGGGCGTGACGGTTCCTTGAGGGCTGTACGCTCCTCTTTAGAGTTGGATTCTGATGGTAACCCTGAGCATCTCTTCTAGTCTCCCATCCTTGTAGACAAGACATGACAAATAAAGATGATATTACAAAATGGAAAACATGTGTAGTGTTTCCAACTCAGAATTGAAGTCAGTTTCCAAAATCTTTATTTAACTTATGTTATTCTCCTTCTTGCCCAAATGTAGAGGATAATTATACAAAGCTACTAGAAGTTTCTGGGCATAAAAAATGTGCTCTCTACATGGTAACTTATCATTACTATACTCATGAGCAATGGGATAGCACTTAGGAGGGTGGCCCTGGAGTCGAACAGACCGGAGATCAGATCTCAGCTTAGTGGTTTACCTAAACCAAGTTACTTAATTTCTGCAAGCCCGTTTCCCAGTCTATAAACAAGGATAATAGCAATACGTCCTGTGTTGGGGTGCTGTGAGACGTAAATGAGCCACTTTATGTAAAACATCCAGAACAGTATCTAACACAGAGTGAGTACTATCTAAATACCGTTCTTTGTTGTTATTATTAATACTATACTATATTGTTATCAATATTAATATAATTACTAATATTATTAATAGAAAGGCTCTTTGACTTTCTCATTGGACTTTTAAGAGGACAAGAGAGACCACCATGTTGTAGAACAGGATGCAGCATTTGAAGTCCTTTAGTGCAGCCTTCTCGTGCGAGGGCATAGTCCCAGAGAGAGGAAGATAGTTGCTTCAGTTACACAGTACCTCTGTGGCAGAAAGTGGACTTGAATTAGGCCTCTGAGTGCCTTTTCCGGTCTTCCTACAACATACTCTCTCTCTGACTCATCGTAATCAACTGCTCCTCCCCCACCCAAAGGAAACTAGTTCTCCTCCCCTGGGGAAGATCTAAAAGTGTCTTTCAGGGGGTGGTGGAATAAAGTGGGTCTCCTCGCTTGTGCCTCCCCAGCTGGGGTTGCCCAAGGCTGGGCTAAAGCATCCCACTTCCTGGGCCAGAGTGATGACCATGGTGTAGATTAGTGTAAAGCACAATGAATTTGGAGCCAGAAGTCCTGGTGCCATTTACTAACTACGTGTTCTTGGGAAAGTTGATTTAACCACTTTGAGCTTATTTTACTTAGCAATAAAATGGCGATAAGTTAAATTTCTGAATGGCAGAGCAACCTAGTGATTGAAAAACCATTTTTGTAACCATTATAGATATTGGGTGTTTACTCTGTGCTAGGCAATAAGGTGTGTGTTTCCATAAATTATTTATTTTACCTCTCACAGCACAGCAGTGCTGATATTTTACTGCATAGATTTTGAGACTGAGACTCTAGAGGTCAAGTAACTTGCCCAAGGTCACACAAATAGAAATGACTGAGTCCAAGTTTGGACCAAGCTCTGTTTGCCTTTAGGGCCACTATGCTATATTCTTTGGACTCCATCCTTACGTTTACACTGAGCGATTGTAGGCTGATCATCAAGGCTTTAATCCCTCAGGGCTTCTCTCTGTGTTAGGAGGTTGACACGTCTGAACAAAACAGCCTTGAAAGTGTCTCACAGGGACTTGAAGAACTCCATATATTTTATAATGGGAGCAGGGTGGTCTATTGGTGTGATTTTTCTCTTCATTTTCTATTATTTGTGGATAAATGATGCGTGCAAATAAACGTGAATAGTCACCTGATCCCTAGCATTTCTGCTAAAATCTCACTTCCTTGTTAATATCCCTCTTCTTGCTTTGGCTTTCCCAATTCCCCACACCCTGCTGTGGGTTTAAAAAAATTTTTTTAATAGCACTTACCATTTTCTATCACGATAGAAAATATACTTAAAAATCCCATACATTGAATATGCCTGGCTCTTCTGCTAGAATGACTGCTCCACAAGGGCAGAGATCTTTGTCTGTTTTGTTCTGAGCCAGAAGAGCACCTGGCACTTTGTAAATTCTTATTCAATAGAGAAATGAATATAGTCTATTTTTCTCTCTTTTTCCTCTTTGCTCAGAATGATTTGTGTAAATTCTTTTTAGAACACAGCAAGTCATTATTTTGGTCAAAGGTCAGTATTGGAGTGGGCTCTAAGGGAAGAAAAAACCTCCTAAATACTTATCAGGAATTCAACGGGGGGGGGGGGGGGCACCAGATGCTGATCTTTATTTCACCAGTAGATCAGCTTTTGCCAAATGTTGATCAAGGTTTCATTTTCTTATTTATCTGATATCCTATGAGATCTTTCTCAAATTCAGATTTTATTTCAAGGATGGAAGGAGGTTGAGAAGAATCACCTTTGAAGTGCACATTCAGTGTTTGCATTGCCCCCAATTATCAGCATCCAAACATACAGAGACAAGATGGTTCCAATACCTGGCAAGAACTCCATCCATATTAGAATTCTAAACTCAATGTGATGTCTTTGTCCCTTAATGAGCTTTGCAGTCTGATTCTGGAATGGCTTGATTCATGTATCTCACTGATTGATAATGATCTGACATTTAAAAAAAATGAGACAGGTCCTTTGGAATAAGATGAAAACTTGGAAACCAGGCTATGCTGCTTGGCAGGAACAGAGAAGAAGCAGCAGCTTGGTAGGCAACAGGTTGTAGAGATTCTAAGTGTGTGAGTCAGACCATGTGCTAGGCACAGCATGTAAGTTATGTCCTTCACAATAATATTGTGACTTTGATATTGCAATCCCCATTAAACCAGCAAGGAGTCTGATGTTCAGAAAGAGGAATTAACTTGCCCAAGGTCTCAAGGGATTTGAACCCAGCTCTGATTTCAAAGCCCATGTCATTAACACTGTACCACTAGGCTTTCTCCAAACAAAGTGGTATTTTTCTGGTTCTGTGGGGAAGCTGACGAAAGTTTCCAAATTGGAACCAACCTGCAGAAGTTTGGAAATGCCTAAGGAACTGAGTTCTAGCTCTGGCTTTGCCTTTTTACTAACTATGAAATCTTTTTTTCCCCGGTTTTATTGAGATGTAACTGCCATACAGCACTCTATAGGTTTAGGGTACAGCATAATGATTTGACTTACATATATTATAAAATGACTACCACAATAAGTTTAGTTAACATCCATCATCTCATATAGAAACAAAAAAAGAAAAGGAAAAAATACTTTTTTCTTTGTGATGAGAACTCTTGGGATCTGTTCTCTTAACAACTTTCATATATACCACACAGCAGTGTTAACTATAGTCATCATGTTGTGCATTACATCCCTAGAACTTATTTACCGTATAACTAGAAATTTTTTTGATCACCTTATGAAATCTTGAGCTAATCGCTTCACTTCTTTGACCCTCATATTCTTCTCTCAAAAATGGGATGAACAATATGCCCTTCCAAGGATGTCTGAAAGATCAAATGAAATAAAGTTTATAAAAAAATGTAAAGTGCTTTACAAATCTAAAAGACTATTATCATTACTGAAAATGGCAAATGAAACCATGCTCACCTTCATTCATCTTCAATGAGACTTTATTTTTTTTTTATTTCAGTGGGCAGCCTAGGATTCATGGCAGAGAATGGCACTGTGACGACAGATTTCATTCTGATGGGGTTCCAGCTGCGAGCAGAGCTGCAGATGGGTCTCTTCTTTGTGTTTCTGATCGTTTATCTCATCACCATGGTGGGCAACCTGGGCATGATAGTGCTGATTCAGTGTGACCTTCACCTCCAGACCCCCATGTATTTCTTCCTCAGCCACCTTTCCCTCCTGGACATTTGTTACTCCTCTGTTATTGTCCCTCAGTTGCTTGAGAGTTTGGGTACTGATAAGATGGTCATCTCCTATGAGCGCTGTGCCACCCAGTTTTTCTTTTTCACATTCTGTGCTAGTACCGAGTGTTTCCTTTTGGCTGTGATGGCCTATGACCGCTATGTGGCCGTGTGTAACCCTCTCCTGTATGCCACTACCATGACACCACAGACTCGCCTGGGCTTAGTGTCTGGGGCATATGTTGGTGCCATGGTCAATTCTGTGATCCGCACTGGGTGTACCTTCTCGATTTCCTTCTGTAAGTCCAATCACTTGGACTTCTTCTTTTGTGACCTCCCACCTCTGCTGAAGCTTGCCTGTAGTGAGACCAGGCCACGGGAACGAGTAATCTACCTCTTAGCTTTCTTGGTCATTACAACCAGCATTTCAGTGATTCTAATATCCTACCTGTTCATCATCCAGGCAATTCTGAAGATTCATTCGGCAGGTAGCAAAGCCAAGACTTTCTCCACCTGTGTTTCCCACATGACTGCAGTGGCTCTTTTCTTTGGAACACTTATATTCATATACTTGAAAGGTAATATGGGCAAATCACTCATGGAGGACAAGATTGTGTCAGTATTTTACACTGTGGTCATCCCTATGCTGAACCCAATGATCTACAGCCTGAGAAACAAGGAAGTGAAAGAGGCTCTGAAGAAAGTTCTCAACAGGATGAGGGTTTCCCAAGTAGAGTAAGACTGGAGTTCCATCAATTCAGAAGTTCCTGCAAATCATCCTTTGGGTTTTTGGCTTGTTCCCTTAACACAAGACCAGATCTCATAATTACAAAAACATATTGAGGCAAAAAAATTTATATTGGGGTTCCAGCAATTTCTTTATTAACCCTATCACCATGAGCCAGAAATTCTCTTCCTCAGTTTTCACATTAGTAAAAATTTCTGTCTTGCTAAGATTAAGAGAGATGGAAGGCCAAAGGGCTTTATCAATGGTAACATGCTGTAAGATGTAAATTTATTTTTCTTACCTGTCCTGAATATTGTTGGGTGTTGTCTCACTTGAATTTTTTTTCTACTAAGCTAATTTTCGCACCTTGAATAATTACAAAACAATAGCATATTATTTACATACTAAGGGCGGTCACATTCTTTGGTTGTGAGTAGTGGGGTGGAAATCAGCCTTGGCCAAAGAAAACTTCTCAACATTCAATCATATCTAGTTTATGCATTTGTCATGGAAAAATAGAGGGGAAAGGAGATTTGAAATGGGAAATGTTCAACTAGTTAGCCTACTTCCTAAGGTAACGTAGAGGATCAAGACACCGTACAATGAAAGATATAATGGTTTGCATTAATTATTGGAAACAATTTGATCTTGACATTGAGCTGAACTGAGTCCCATATATAATTTTTGAAATATTTCTTGACCACCAAAGATCAGAAGCTCTGTTTTATTTCTGAAGCATTGTTCATGGACCATCAGCCTCAATTAACTCAAGCTATTCTCTATTCTCCAGTAATGAAAACCGCTCTCTACTTCCATTTCCTGTAGGACATTTGCTTTATTCTCAGAAGACAGATAACTACAAATCTGACTGCTATCTTTTAATGGTCTCTACATCTGCTAGAAGTATTACTTGGGAAACATCTCTATGGAGATTCCACAATCTTATTCATCAACTCAACAAATATTTACTGACTATCTACTATGTATTGCATATACATACTAGGGTTCTGGAATATAGTAATAAATAAGATAGACATGATTCCTCCTTCATGGAGATTAGAACCTGGGACATAGACAGATATTAAACCATTACACAGTTAATTTTTTTATACCATTTTGGAAAGTGGAACAGAAGAAGAACAAGATGTTACATTGGGTTCTAACCTAGTTTGGTGTGGTCAGAAAAGGGTTCCTGAGGAGCTAACATTTCAACTGAGGCTTAAAGAATAAGCATATCATTGTCATGGACTGGGGAGACTACTCCAGATAGAAAGAGCTGCAAATGCAAGGGCCTGTGAAACAGGATGCCTTGAGGAGCTGAGAGAAGCAGAGTGGCTGCAGCAGAACAAATGAGGGGGCTTAGTGTGAGATGCAGCTCGTGAATTCAGAAGAAACTAGGTCACAGAGAGCCTTGCAGTCTCACTCAGGGATGTGTGGGCTTTACTCCAAAAGCAAGGCATGAAATGATCCTGTCTGAATCCTAAAAACAGCACTTTGGCTGCAGCGTCATAGGTAGAAGCAGGTGCATGTGGTGGTGGAGATGGAGGGAAACACACCCATTTCATCTAAGCAACAACAAATGGTATATTTCAGGGCATGGTGCTTGGTTTGCACACCATACAGTGTGTTTCATTCTAGAATACATGTTAGGCCAGAGGAAACTAGCAGGTGCATGACCATGATATTGGTCTAGGACTGATTCTTGGCCAGATGGTAAAATTGGGGAAATATACTTTTGGAGGCATCCCCTTTTTCATTGGTACACTCTTTCTTTCCTTAATTGTAACCTTCCTCAGGTATACACCATGTGTCCTTCATCAAAACGGTCATCAGCTACTCTCTGTTAAGAGGCCAACACATTTTCATTAACTTCTACTCTATGTCAGGCTGTGTTAATAGGCTGAAGAAATCACCACTTGCAGGGCTTCTTGCATGCTTAAAGGAAGGAAAACATTTCAACTTAAACAACAAATAGGTGGGTAAAATGCTAGACAGCAAGTGTGCTATTTTAGTAGTGGTGGGAGCTGCATCTCACTCCTCCCACCTTCTACCTGGTAAGTGGCAACCAACTCTGCTTATAAGTGAATGACCTTTGATAAATGTACAGTATTTGATGTATATGTAATTGCTTCAGGGATGCACAAAGTGGATAAAAATAAAATGAAATTTTAGCATGTTTTAGGGGACTACATTCTGATTAACATGAGAAGGCACTAGAATGGCATTTATGTTGAATTTTGAATTATATGTATTAACAAACGAACGAAAACATTCATAAATTACCAAATGGGTCAGGCTCTGTGCCAAAAGTTTTTACTCATCTCATTGTCACGTCTCATTCTTAAAATAGACTCTACACACACTTTTCTAGAAAATAGAATCCTGTGATGGTTGATTTTATGTGAAAATTTGACTGGGTTATAGGGTACCCAGATATTTGGCTAAACATTATTTCTGAGTATGTCTATGAAGACATTTCCAGAAGAGATTAGCATTTGAATTGGTGGACTCAGTAAAGCAGGTTGCCCTCCTCAACGTAGGTGGACATCATCCAATCCGTCAAGGGCTTGAATAGAACGAAAGGCGGAGGAAGGGAGAATTTGTTCCTTCTTCTCTGCCTGACTGAAGGAGCCAGAACATCTGTCTTCCTTTGCACTTGGACTGGGATTTACACCATGAGCATCCCTGGTTCTTGAACCTTCAGTCTAAACTACACAACTGCTTCCCGGGTCTCCCAGATTGTGGGACTTCTCAGCCACCATGTCAGGAATTGTGTGAGCCAATTCCTTACAATAAACCTCCTATACCATAAACAGATCCATCACCTCCAAAAGTTTCCCATCACCCTCTTTATTCTTTGTTATTATTATTTTGTGATAAGAACACAACATAAGACCATCCTCTTAGCAAATTTTTAAGTATATAATATAGATTGTTGTGATGGTTTCATGAGTGTATACTTATCCACAAACTCATCAAATTGTATACATTAAATATGTACAATTTTTGTATGTCAGTCATACCTCAATAAAGCGGTTTAAGCAAAATCTCCATATATATATATCCTATTGGTTCTGTATCTTTGGAGAACCCTGGGTAATAAAATCCAGTGAGTAATATTGGAGTTGTTTTCTTTTTATCCTCTTCAACTTCTAAGTGTAGCCCTTTTAAGAACTGGGTTTTGGAATTATAAGTTTTCAGCTGTAATACTTTGGCCTCACTCTACCAAAAATGATGTAGGAAAGATGAAGCGAGCAGACCTTCAGACTTTCCGTTGACCCATTTAATTCAACACATCCAGAGGCCAAAGTGCTTTGTTCTTCTCATCATTTAGAGCAAGACCAAAAAATGACATCATCAAAATGGCAGTGTCGGAGACCCCAGCATATCCCAAGAAAGATCAACAATTAGATAGCTATCCATGACCAAAAACAGCTCTGGGAGAGCTCAGGAGTCCACTTTAGAAACTGCAGCAACACAGTGGAACAATAAACCTGAAAATAGCCACACAAAAGGAGAAGAAAGAACAGCTTCGTGGCCGGCATCATCCCGCTCACACAGGCTGGCACTGCTCAGTGGCAAGAGGGAATGCCCCAACTAGAAAGAGTTCCCCTCACCAAGAAAGGAAGAGTGGAGTGATTGACTAGTGTCCCCAGCCTTTCAGGGCAGTGCACAAAGGACACACTTTGGTTTAACCCACCCAGAGATTGGCAAAGCTGAGATATGTAGGGATGGCTAGGAACAAGAAAGAAGGGCAGGGGCTACCAGTGTCAGCCACACAGTGGGAGTGCCCATGGTTTCCTGGGAGTGATTTTCTGCTCTCAGGAAGACTCGGCAGCTTTCGTCACTGCAGAAACCAACATCCAGTACGGTGGCTGTGGACTCCATGCAGATTCACTGTTTTGTCACCTCACAGGTTTTCATATTTGCAGAGGCCAGACGCCTAAGTCCCTCCCACCTCCTTACCCTACCCCCTGTTCCAGCCAGAGCCCAGAATCTGCAGAGTAGCCGGCCCAGGGCTCTGTAGCTGAGTCAGAATAAAATTCTGGATTAGACCTCTGCAGCTGATTCCCACTGCCATGTGTGCACTCAAGGCTGGCCCTTCTAGTTGTGCACTTTCACGCTTCCAGCCTGACTCCTGTCACTGGCTTCCCCTGCTGTATGTGTGTGTGTGGCGAGACCCTACAGCCTCAAGAGTACCCAACAAGAGCTAGGGGCCCCATAGCTGCTTATGGGATTGGATCTATCCCTGACTCCTGTCACTGGCCTGTACCACTGGGCTCACCTGTAGCTAGCCCCTCCAGCTGTACATATTCATGCCTCCAGCCTGACTCCTATCACCAGCCTCCATTGCTGTGCACATACCCAAGGTGAGATCCTGCAGCTACAAGAGTGTACGCCAACAGCCAAAGTCTTTTGACACCAAAAGCAAAGGCAACAAAAGCAAAAATCAACAAATGGGATATATCAAACCAAAAAGCTTCGCTCCGCAAAAGAAATAGTCCACAAAATGAAAGGGCAACCTACGGAACAAAAGAAAATAGTTGCAAACCATGTATCTGATAAGTGGTTATTATCCAAAATATATAAGGAACTCATACAACTTAATAGCAACAGGAAAACAATTCAATTAAAAATGGAAAGAGGCTCTGAATAGACATTTTCTCAAAGAAAATATACAAATGAACAACAGGTACGTGAAAAGATGCTCAACATCACTAACAACAGGGAAATGTAAATTAAAGCCACCGTGAGATATTGCCTCATACCTGTTAGAATGGCTACCGTTGAAAAGACAAGAGACAGATGCTGGCAAGGAATTGGAGAAAAGGGAATCCTTGTGTGTTGTTGGTGGGAATGTAAATTAGTTCAGCCACAGAAAACAGTATGGAGTTTCCTCTAAAAATTAAAAGTAGAATTAACCCAGCAATCCCACTTATGTATATAAATATATAAATTCAAAGGAAATGAAATTAGTATCTCAAAGGTATGTCTGCACTCCTATGTTCATTATTCATAATAGCCAAGACATGGAAACAACCTGTTTCCATTGACAGATGAATGGATAAAGAAAATGTGATACACACACACACACACACACACACACGCAGAGGAATATTATTCAGTCACAAAAAGAAGGAAATCCTGCCTTTTGCAACAAAATGGATGAGCTTTGACAGCATTATGCTGTGTGAAATAAGTCAGATAGAGAAAGACAAATACTGTGTGATCTCACTTTTATGTGGACTCTAAAAAGTCAATTTCATTGAAACAGAGAGTAGGTTGATGGTTACCAGAGGCTGGAAGTTAGGGAAATGGGGAGATGTTGGTCAAAGGGTACAAACTTTCCATTATAAGATGAATAACTTCTGGATCTAATGTACAGCATGGTGACTATAGGTAACAATACTGTATTGTATACTTTAAAGTTGCTATGAGAGTAAATGGTAAACGTTCTCACCATAACGACAACAACAAAATGGTAATTATGTAAGGTGAAGGATGTGTTTACTAAATTCTTTGTGGTAGACATTTTGCAATACATACATGTATCAGATCATCACATTGTACACCTTAAACTTATACAATGTTACGTGTCACTTATGCCTCAAAAAGCTGGGGAATAAAAGAACACCACAATACTTTAATTGTGACTTCCATTTTTCACATATATTAATTTGAATGAATGAATGTAGATGCAAAGCCAAATTAACTAGATTATCACATAAGGATATGGGTATAGGGAAGAATGATGGAGTGGAACCCACAAAACACATAATCTTGAGCCTTTGGTTTAGCGTATATTTATATATTTACTTTTGTGTATGGGTATGGATATCATCAGGGAGAGTCGTAACGCTTCAGATAAGATCAACAATCACCACAAAAAAATTCCTTTTTTTCTCTTTGTCATGAAGATCAATACAGGACAGGTAGAAATACTCAGATTTCTTTTTCTGCCCCCTTGCTCACATCCTATTTACGTAACCTACAGGGAAGGGAAAAGGCCATCATAGCCATGTGCAAATGACCACAAGATCAGGGCTGCAGGCCCCAACATTCCTACCCCACATCAGTCCCCCATATCTTTCTGGCAGCAACAGGGGTAGAAGGCAAAAAGAGACTGAAGCATTTTGGTTAAAAGATTTTTATTGGTGATGGAGTTCAAAGAAGGCAAGATAGCTCTAGGTTCTGAATCTCATTTTGCCTGATGCTGAATTCAAACCTCAAACAATATTTTCTTCTGAATCTTACTTAGATAAAGAGTGTAGGGAGGATAAATCATCCGAGAAATTGGGGAAAGCTGACAGAAGTTGAAAGGAAAGTAGGTTGCCTGCTTCCCTGTGGTGCATCTGCCAGGTTGTTCGTGGACCGAGATGCTTCATGGACATTATACAATTCATCCTTTTAATCCTATTGGGAAAGAAGTTCTCAGCTATTTCCACTTATCTCTTCTTTAAAAACCATGAACTGTTCTGAAAATTGTTGAAAAGAACATTGTGTCATTTTCTTTTTCTCAATATATCTTTATTCTTATTTAAAGCATAATAGTGCCAACACACACACACATACAAAAATGACAGCAACAGCAATAGCAAAAGTGCTGTTTCTCTTGTGATGGAATGAATATTTGAACCCTCTCTAATCCTACACTTAGTAAATTTGCTTCTTTGGCTTTTAAAAGGCCCAGAAAACGTATTGTAAAAAATAGCTTGTCTACACATGTTGCTTTGTATTTTCACTCTAGACATAGTTTGAAATATTTTATTCATTAATCCAATAGATTATTTATTAAGGTGCTACTATATGCTGGGCACTATTCTCGCAGTTTGGGAGCTCTATAAGTAAAGAAAATAGGCAAAAAATCTCTGCCCTTGTGGAACTTATATCCAAAAGAAGGAGATAGACAAAAGATATTGAATATAATGAGTAAGTAAATAATTGGTAAGTAATATAGTATGTTAAAATGTGTTCAGTGTTATGGAAAAAACTGGAGACATGAATTTTATAACATAAGTGAATAATTCCCTATGTCAGAGATACTGAATGAAGAGTTGGGAGGTAATTATTTCCTTTTCAATGTGAATATAATGTCGAACATACCCACTGAACAACAACTTTGCATTTCCTCTACCCCCCTAGCCTTCAGAAACCACTATTGTCTTCTCTGCTGCCATGAGTTTGGCTATTTTAGATACCTCAGGTAAGTGGAATCGTGCAGAATTTGTCCTTCTGTGACTGGCTTATTTCACTTAGCATAATGTCCCTCAGGTTCATGCATATTGTCATGCAGGGTAGGATTTCCCTCTTCTTTTCTTTTTTAAGGCTGAATATTATTCTATTGTATGAATAGACCACATTTTCTTTATCCATTCATCTGTTGATGGACATTTATGTTGTTTCCATATCTTGGCTAGTGTGAATAATGCTGTTATGAATATTGGTATACCAATACCTGTTCCAGTCTCTGTTTTCAATTCTTTTGGGTATATACTTAGAAATGGAATTGCTGAATCATATGGTAAATCTATGTTTAACGTTTTGAGGAACCACTTACTGTTTTGCACAATGGCCACACTGTTTTACATTCCCACCAGTAATGCACAAGGGTTCCAATTTGTCCACGTCCTCACCAACACTTTATTTTCTTTCTTTTTTTGATAGCCATCCTAATGGGTGTGACGTGGTCTCTCATTGTGGTTTTGATTTGTATTACTCTAATGATTAGTGATGTTGAACATCTTTTCATGTGCATATTGGTCATTTGTATATCTTCTTTGGAGAAATGCCTGTTCAAGTCTTTTGCTCATTTAAAAATTTGTTGTTGTTGTTGTGTTGTGTGAGTTCTTTATATATTCTGGATACTAATTCCTTATC